TTTAGATTTCATCATTTTTGTTTTACTAACTTAAAACGACCCCTTTCCTTTCCCTGCTCCAGGCCGGGTCCTGAGTTTTAGTTAAATGAGCTAAGAATTTCTCCTATTCTAATCAAATTCAAGATCATAAATGCTTGCCATTTGTACAAAACATTAACCGCTAGTCACTCGAAAAAAAGATCCATTACAAAAAGATAGTTACCGTGCAGCAGGACAGATAATTTTGTTGTTTAATCAATAACCAATCTAATATCTATTGATTGCCGAAACCCGATGTTTTATCAATGGAAAAATTGTGTTGAAAAACACAACTTTATTTACCTATAAAAAGATAAGATATTGCGTAATCTGATAAAAATATGTAGTACATACTCGTGTATGCACTTGATTAAGGAGTCTTATGGAATCTTTTAAGTGTGGGTCGGCTCGACCAAATTTAGACCACGGCCTTAGAAAACCACAGCGTTGCTTTTCGCTGTGTAGGTGAGGTTAGCCTACCTAAGGCCCAATCTTTCCCTTTTCCCCATCTCTCCCCATTCCTTAAATATCCGAAAACATAGTCCCCAAACGGTCGGCAACGCATTCATAACTCCTTTGTTGTTGCCATGGGTGTTGCCGATTGCTTAACATTCCATAGTTTTTTTTTTGTTTTTTTGTTTGTGATGGGGAAAATCGTCAAATAACTTCCCCGGTCCAGGGTGGGGCGGGAGTGTCACACTCTTACTGACTGATAATGACACATAGTCAATTGTAATGTGGATGAAGTGTAATGATTAACCGCGTCCCGATTCGGATGGAACGAGGTGGTGTCAGAGTCAGTAAGACTCTGACACTCGCTCTTGCCAAACTTAGGGCGGAAAAGGCATAAAAATGATTTCCCCTGAAAAAAAATGTAATGTAATCGTTTAAAACTCAATTTTTATTCTTCTTTAGAAATCTAAAATATCTATCGGAAAAGGTCAAGATAACGCCTGGTTAGTAGGAACTTGGCCTACTAAAGGTATGTGAATAATCCTTGGCTCTTTGCCCTATTATAACATTGACCCATTATAGTTTCCCAGCACAATGACTGCGTCAATTTAGCTCGGTCTCTGCTCCTGTCTATACTTAATTGTTCTGACAATTGCAAAAGATGATATAACTACTACGTTATGTAACTTTATACTACAAGGATGATTATAAGGATTTCTCTTGAGGAATCATTTTTTGTTATAGTATTAATTTTCCGGTGGTCCGACGAAGGTTAATGTGCTGCTTCTCGAGTATGTTTATTTTTGAATATCCTTTGGATATCGCTAATATATAGGTACACTGAAGAAAGTCAGCGTGGCGTCCTTTTCTCTGATGAATGCCTTCTCCGTGAGATCAGACGCTTTTGCTCAACAATAGGCACTTACTGGCACACTACACTTATTCGACATGAGATGTCAATGCCATTTGTATTGCTTTCTTAATTAAATTTGATGTTTTAATTGAAGTTCCCCTGGTGCAGTTCAGTTAACTTAATTTTGTTAAATGCAGATGTCGTGAATTCGTTCGTGAGCTACTGTAATTAGTATTACATAACCTTTCTTTCTGCGGTTTTATCCATGTTTTTTAATCGTTGCAACATGAGTATATTACCTTTATACCGCGGGAGTTCCCTTCACAAGGGCTGCACATTTAATAGGGCGAATAATTTGAATAATAGAATACTTACATACTTACTATCGTGTAGGTATATATACTAATATTTCCATTATCTATCTTAACGACAATTCTCTTAATTTCCTAATGCATTCACTAACCGCTAATGTGAACGGTAGCTTTACACAAGGACATAATATATGACATAGGTATTCTGCTCAATGTGTTGGTTTAAATACGATTAGGTAGTTTTGCTTTTTGAATTATAATCAAGAACACTATTAGCAGGATTGCAGTGTGCAGTGTGTAAGCGTAATAATGTAAAAGAACTAGATGGAAAGGGGTGATTTTGTGTCTGACTCTCACTTTCGCCCACACACGGCGAAAGCACGGCAAAGCACTTCGCTGCTTTGACGATACCTTCTCAAAACAATAAGCAAGAACACAACATATTTAACATATAATTAGCTAAGTATAAATAATAGATACTCTTAAATCAAACTTTTCTTATAACACGTTGCTGTGTACTTAACCATAAAAGCAATTTGTAATTGAGCAGCTGTTGGTCAAATCGTAATGACTCTTGTCACATGGCCAAGAAAATGGTCGACGTGCTTGCTCAAGGCTCTTTTTAGACGACTGTGTGATGGGTATTGGCAATTCAAAATACTTTATAATTAATCCCTTAATCTTAATTTACTTAATATTTAAATTGACGATAGTATTAGTGTGGGAGAGTAATGCTTCGGCTCGACCGAATTGATACACCACGGCCTCAGTCAAAACCGGTATGAAACAATCACAGCGTTGTTTCGCCATGTGAGTGAGGTGACCGGAGGCCCCATCCTTCTCCTACCTCCCTAATCCCTTGATCTCTGAAACCGTAATCCCTAAAAGACAGGGAAAGCAATCGTAAATCATCTGGTTTTGCTGGTATACAGAAAGATAGTTAGTCGCCCCATTACATAAAAAAAATATTATAGCTATTACAAATCATGTACCTATTTATGCATAATCTGAGATTAAATTAAATTCACGTTTACGGAAAATTACTATCGAGGATTTCATAAGTACTAAACATTTAGTTGCTTTGTTATAAAATACAGGAAAAATATACTTATAAAGCATCCATTTGTCCAGTAAAAAGTCATTTAGGTGTACATAACCGTATTTGTCGCCCGAGGCCCGAAGGTTAAAGCGCTCGCTTATCATGCATGAGGAGGCGGGTTCGAACGGCATGTGACGTTTTCCGAGTTATATGTACTTTCTTAGTTTATTTATTTAGACACCACAGACTTAGGGTCAAGGATAACATCGTGTCGTGAGGAAATCTGGACTTTATAATTTCTGATTATAAGTTTGTAATCGCCAATCTCCCTTAAGCAAGCGTGGTGAGACCTTCTCTGTATGAAAAGACGCCTTTGCTCAGAATAAGGCAATTCAAGCTTATCATATAGGCCCTTGTAAAAATTACCTCCTATTTTATTCCAGACTACATCCATATTTGTAAGAAATTTAATGTAAATCCGTTCAGTTTTTTCGTGAAAGAGTAACATACAACTATTGTTCCTCATTAATTTTGGGTTTAGAATAGTTTTTATTGGTTAAGATTTGCATTCAGTGGTTCACTTTGCGACGTCTGTTGCGTCGTTTGTAACGCAGTACTACTTTGGATTATACGCTCCAGGTATGGCTCCGAAACTAGTCGAGTTACCTTGACATTAACATAAGTAGATAGGTCCTTCATTAAATAAATACGTATTGTGTAATGGTATCTCTTCGTAAAAGACTTTTTTATGATTCACATAAAAATCGTAACTCAAATCTATCGTAATGATATTATTTATGACTTATTTTGTAAATTTAATACCTGCCTTATCAAACCGGATCAAGTAAAACACGTCTGCAACAAACAAAGATGTCGTGGTGGCCCGGAGGTTAAGGAGCCCGCTTCCCATGCATGAGAGTGTGGGTTCGAAACCTAGCAAGTAGGTACCAATGTGGGATAAGTCGGCAAACGAGCAGACGGATTACCTGATGGTAAGCAGTCGGCGCCGCCCATGGACACCCGCAACACCAAAGGAGTTACAAGTGCGTTGCCGGCCTTTTGAGGATAGGGGTTGCGGATATAAGGATTGGGAAGGGATAGGGGAAGGGGAGGGATTGGGCCTCCGGTAACCTCACTCACACGGCGAAACACAACGCTGTGGGTTGTTTCACGCCGGTATTCTGTGAGGCCGTGGTATCACTCCAGTCGAGCCGACCCATTCGTGCCGAAGCATGGCTCTCCCACACTGGAATGATTTCTTCACCTCACTAATAAAGAGATAAATTTAATAGCGAGATTACGAGACTCGAATGGCACGTCATAGTGAACAAAAAAAAAACTAAAGAATTTATGATCTTTGTTTATTTATTCAACGATTCCTACCTTGAATTCATCGTCTAAAAAACAAAACAATGGACCAACTCAATTAATACCTTAGTGTTAAATAAAGATTAATGTTAGAAAAATATATCTTCATCAAGAGGCTGATAAACAGACATAGATTCTTATTTATATTTATTTTGTTAGCTTACACCAACTTATTTGAAAACATTTTGAAAAGTGCAACAAAATTGGTTAAGTGGTTTTTGAGATTATCGCTACTACAACACACACACATACCTAAATAGTCGCGCTGTGGGATTTTTTTATTAATTAAGTTCTAACGATAATTTTGTAAGGGATTAATAGCCATCTTACCACTTATTACATTCCAAATTTTAATGTATCTGGAATATACTTAGCGGCTTACTGCTAAAAACTGTGAAACACGAAGGAACCTCATGTGTTATGTGAATGTTTCACCTAGGTATATTACATGCTTACTCAAATTAAATTCAAAGTGATTTTCAGTTATTCAAAAAATTCTCAGTAAAAGCACATAATATTTCCCTTTCCAGCACCACAAGCTCACCTTATGATATGTCGTGGAATATAAGTAATATGGAATCGTGCTTAATATTATAATCCCTATAAACAAATCGAGGCTAACAACGAAACTGATGATATACATCTAAGTACATTGGATAATACACACTTTACTGATCCCTTTGGATATAGAAAAGCGTGATGCTTACATAAGAACTTGAACTAAAATCTGTCCATACATAGGTACTACAAACTTCATATACATTGAGAAAATGAATGACCGAATACCAATGACGTCATAGTTTCGTCACTATCTCAGTCTGAGAGCAGAGAGCAGACAAAAGCCGTATCGGGCAGTCGATTTACTTATGTTTAGAATATTTTTTGGACCTTAATATAAAAGAAATTAAAGTTCAAATTTAAGTGAATGTACTAATCATTACCTTTGTGTATTTTCCAGGTGGAATACAAGGCGACGATATGGATAAAAACGTTTCAGAAGAAGTTCAAAAGAAAATCAACCAATTGCGAAATTGGATAGACAGTCAGCCCCACTTGCCAAAGGATGTAGGTAAGAATAAAATGTCAATACTTCTTCTTTAATTCTGCGCCATCTAATGGTCAGTTACCTAACTAAGTTAGTTTTCGGTGCAAATTTATTTATCACTTGTTCTTACTCCGTGCTAGTGACCCGCCTCCATTTCGCAGGGATGCAATGTTGATACTAATATCTTCTTTATTTAATGGATGGTTTTATACATACCAACCACCTGCTTCTACTAATCTGTCTATTAAAAATACCGCATCAAAATCAGTTGCGTAATTTTAAGGATTTAAGTGTCTTTCATAATTAGGTATATTATTTCGTACAACCTTTTATGTCACTTAATTACACTGTGCTTAGGCAAGATTCCTATACACTTAGCCCGGAATTACCTACGAAACATTCGAGGCGCAGCGCCGCGTCGCGCTGCATTTCGCGCGTCGTTCGTTCGTCGTACATTGCAGCATCGGGCCGCGTCATCGACCGCGCAAATGCAAAAATAGGAACATTACGAGCAATATATGCTAGCATGATATGCCGCACGACGGGCTCCTTTTCCGTAAATAAGGCCTGTCAATGTCATGTTTTATTGTTAGGTAGGATAATGAGGAGATTATATATGACATAGGCTAATGTTATTTAGCCTGGGTTGAGAAAGCAAGCGCAAAAATGTACCGCACCCTGACCCAGACTAAAAACAGGGTTGTTTTTAGTCAGTAAGAGTCTGACACTCCCTCTCGCCCCACCCAGGGTGGTAGAAGTAACTTGATGATTTTCCCCACATCCATGATGGAAAAATCCCAAGAATTAAAAAAGGAAAGTCTTCTGAATATTGTCCTACATGCCTACATCATACCCCCTCCCCCATCAACATAGTTCTTACAAAATAAAGGTGTGATTGAAAGGTGTGATTGAATGAAACTTGTCATCAATTTAATAATTCTTAATATCAATCCCGGATATAAACAAATAAAATATCCAGTACATTGTAGGTACTAACCTACAACTTTTTGTTCTCATTTTACAGCATTTCAAATTATTTGTACGGATCTTCGAAAATACAATAATTAAAACTTTAACCACTCATCATAAAGTCGTTTTTTTAATAGCCACCTAATTTAAAACCGGTTATCTATTTCGGACCTTCCAACTTGTTCGTGACGATGCCGATGACCCTAAAAAAATAGGTTATCAAATATTCAGCGAAAGAAAAGTGTTTGCCCAGCACATCAGAATATCCGAAAACGTCTTATTCCCCCAATAAATTTTCGACTTTAAGCAAAAGACATAAAGATAAAAATACCTTGAAAAGGTTGGGGTAGCTAGTGTGGCTGTTTGTACTAAGTATGAGAAACATTTGTTAGGCCTTAGTATTGATTCGACAGACTCGGACAAAGAATAATTGCCACCCGATATAGGCCATTCAACGAGCAACGATTCGCGTACAATGAATGGGAAGCTGTTGTTACTTGCCTGTATAACTGGTACACCAACTCGTCCATAATAGCCATTGTCTACATTCTAATTTCAACCTTTCCTCAATATGTTTAAAGCACAAATTAAGTCCGCATAGTTACTGATATACCAACTCGACAACTATTGCTACTAAGATACATTGAAATTTGAACTTAATTTCTGTTTTATTAAAGTACAAAATCTAAATTGGGAATCGTGCCATTCAATTCCGAAGCGTTCGTTATTTAGAAGGTTTTGGTCTTGCAAGAGCTGTGTTTACTTCTATTATGGCAAAGAAACACTTCTAAATGAAATAAAAAAATAATGCTTCGCTACAATAAGTACTTCATAACGTTATCATTGTCATAAGAATTAACATTAAATGACATGCTAATGTCAAAAAATAAAATATTCAAATACATTTAGAACGATAAAGTTCCACAATTTAAATTTGGAATCAGAGACGCTTGATACTCGCCAGTCTTAAAAGTTTCCGCCTAAACATGGCCTAGACGTCAATAAAAACCATGATTAATATAATTTCCTGTTCTATAACCTGCGTGGGTAGGAATATCAAGTTTTTAAGACAAAATACACGGTTACTTGTCTATATATACGAAACGACAGAATTCATAATTTGTTTGTATTGACTTAGGTAACTCCGAAATTACTGGACGGATTTGAAAAATTGTTTCAGTATTGGAAAACTTACTTTGATTACGGAGTGATGGTGTAGGGTGGAGTAGGGTGACTTTTTAATCCCGATATTACGATGATTTCCAAAAACAAATCTATTACCTACGCGTAAATTAAAATATATCTAAAAATAACAATAATTTTGTTGATTAATTTTATTTTTTTCTTTCGTCGTTCGTGCTTTTTAATACTTTTCTAGCTACATTAAAAGAAATAAGTACCTTAACATTTGACGCAAGAAAACATGTCGTGAAAATTAGTTATCATAAAAAATATAGTACATCATTCGTGAAATTTTCTCGGATTACTCTTTATGGAAAGCCACCAGAAGACTGAAGCGGCCCATCAATGTCGCTCCTCCTATAAGAAAATCTGATGGTACCTGGGCACGGACTGACCAAGAGAAAGCCAGAACCTTCTCAGAACACCTTTCAAATGTCTTCACTCCTCATCCATACGACGGCTCACCAGAAGATGCAGCAGAAATTACTAACTGCTTAAACATTCCAGAGGATACACAGGAAGTGCCTCTTAAATTTAAATTTACAAAAACAGCAGTTGCCCGAATTATAAAAAAATCGGACCCAAAAAAGGCTCCAGGATACGACCTTATTACAAACCGTCTATTACAAGAACTACCTGAATCTGGCATAACCTTCCTTACGTCACTATTTAATGCCATGACCAGACTGCAATTCTTTCCTCTAGAGTGGAAGGTCGCACAAATTATCATGCTGTTGAAACCAGAAAAACAACCTGAAGAAGCGAAATCGTATAGGCCCATAAGTCTGTTACCTATTCCATCCAAGATATATGAGTCTCTACTACTGCAGCGAATCTTGCCTATACTGAGAGAGAAAGAGCTAATTCCAGATCATCAGTTTGGATTTCGCAGTAAACATTCTACCATCGATCAAGGGCACAGACTAACAAAACATATCATGGATTCACTCGAAAGTAAATCTTACTGTACCAGTGCATTCTTGGACATATCTCAGGCGTTTGATCGCGTGTGGCATGAGGGATTGTTATTCAAAATGAAAAATGCCCTACCAAATCACCTTTACGGAATATTAAAATCATTTCTCCAGCAGCGTCATTTTATAGTACAACAAGGGGAAGCACTGTCTGATCTCTGCCCTATAAAAGCAGGTGTCCCTCAGGGTAGCGTTCTGGGCCCCATACTCTACTTACTCTTCACAGCGGATCTGCCGATATCAGAATCCTTAATCACTGGAACCTTTGCTGACGATACCGCTATACTAGCTACACATAGCGACCCAAAAATAGCCTCACAAATACTCCAGAAAGGGCTAAATAGCCTATCCGACTGGCTCAAAAAATGGCGGATAAAAGCAAATGAAACAAAATCAGTCAATGTAACATTCACTTTAAGAAGAGAATCTTGTCCGCCAGTCACATTAAACAACATTGCAGTGCCACAGGCAGATAATGTGCGATACCTCGGATTGCACTTAGACAAAAGGCTCACCTGGCAAAAACATATTTTCACTAAGAGAAAGCAACTTGGAATCCAAACGAGAAAACTTTACTGGCTCATCGGAAGAAAGTCCCAACTATCCCTCGAAAACAAAATACTTCTGTACAAGGCAATACTTAAGCCCGTTTGGACTTATGGAATCCAATTGTGGGGTACTGCATCCCATTCAAACATTGAAATCATACAAAGATTTCAAAATAAAACACTCCGCATGATAACCAATGCTCCCTGGTTCGTACCAAACGAATTATTACACCGTGACCTACGCCTACCCACAGTGAAACAGGAAATTGTACGCCATACCAAAACTTATAAAGAGCGCATCGAACGACATCCAAATATTCTGGCCCGACTACTAATGGCAGACGACAACAAAGCGCGACGTTTAAAGCGTAAAATACCTCAAGATTTAATCCTATCACAGTAAACATAGTTACTGTCTAAACAACGAGGATGTGACAAAGGTCACATAACGACCGCGCCAGCAATAGCACCAACCAACATGCTGCTGAATGTCCCACAAAGGAGACAGATTGTAGTTATAAAGAATAGATAAAAAAAAATAAAAAAAAAAATATAGTACATCATTCGTGAAATTTTTGACAATTAAAAAAAAGTATTGAATTTGACTAGTTTATTTGTAAATATTCCTTTTAATTTATGATCTTCTAAATTCGATGCATCGCCGAAAAATAGTCTACACAAATTTAGATACATAACTGACACGTTTTTATGATTAAATCTATTGTAACCTAAGTATAATGATTATTAAACGATGGAAAAATTCAAATACGACCGGTTTGAGAACTCCACGATTTAAAAGGCCCATGTAGGTAGGTACATTGTTTTGCATTCCAAGTTTTACGGAAACGTCTGCGATGTTTTGTGATCAGTGGAGCTTACATTTGTACCGTGGGATTGTGTAACTTCAGGTGTCTGTCAGGCATAGGTACTTGTGAAGCCAAGTAGTACCTATATACGTATTAAGGAATTTTTGTATTGTACCTACATATTATGATTAAATGGTTACTAACGTTATGATTTGGCGAGATATCTCTACTAGTTTCAAGCCACTCTTGGGACTCATAATTGTGAGCTGAGTTGATTGCGCGACGGACAGACAAATAACAGTTCTGTGCAAGAATCCCCGCTACACGTTGCGCAGGAGTTGCCCAACCACTGCCCGCATCGTGCAATCAATTTAATAGAATCTTCCTATCATTTTCAGATAACCGTCTTCTACTGCGATTCCTCCACAGCTGCTACTATGACGTGGAGAAAACCAAGGTGACCATCGAGCTGTTCTTCAAGGTCAGAGACAGCGCCCCCGAGTTAGTAAACCACAGAGATCCGCTGTCACCGGCTATGCAAAAGGCTATGAAAATTGCGTAAGTGTCTTTGAAGTGAATGTGACTTTGCAACTTAGGATATCCTAAGATGTCCAGAAACTGTGGTAATCATGCCGTAGTTCTGAAGTTATTGGATTATCTATTTTGCGGTATTGAATTTAGGATAAGTAATTTTTTCGATTATTATTTAAGTATAAGGTCTATTCTCTTGCTCATTAGTCATTCCACATCCCCCAATGGCTTCCAGATTGGTTGATAGGAAGCGACTTTATTATTCTAAGATTGAAGAAGAATCTCAAAATCTAATTTAGATATTGACTAGGCTTGGTTTGGCGTTTGGCTAGTTTCGCTATACCTATAACAAGTGAATTCATGCCAAAACTTTTTTAAATCCCTAACCACAAAAGGCCAATAACGCACTTGTAGGTACTCCTTTTTTATAACAAGTGTCAATGCACAGCGCCGATTGCTTACCATCAGGTAATTCGTCTCGTTCGCCGACCTATGCCATAAAAAGCAGAATCTCTCTGAGAACAGAGAGTATTATATCTCCTACCTTTAAAGCTAGTCCAATTAGACAGACTGGCTACCATGAACGAAATCCATTGTATTGTTTTCTGCAGAAATTAAAGCGACAGGTAAATTTATAACTCTGATACTTTTAATGTGTTAGTGCCAATCATCATCTTCATTTTATCATTTTTAGAGGAATAAGAGAACAGGGTATGAATCTCCTCGTCCTCCATTGAAAAGGGGGGGGGCGATCTTCCGACCAGACGGGTGTTATGTCTGATGGGCTACTACCCGACGGTCGTTGTCGGGATTCTGTACCTTTTCTAATTGCGTTGATAACTGTTATACCGCAATGTACAAACCTGACTATGATTGGTGGTGCTGCGCGTGTTAAGCAGTAGTACAGTTTTAAAAATCCATCTTAATTTCACTTAATTAAACAGCGACCTTGCACTGTAGACTCATAAAATGACTAGACATGCTACATGCCCAGTCTATTATGAAGTTGACTGTAATTATGAATGTACGTCATAACAATTATTAACTATAGGTATTTAATAAAAATAGATCATTTATGTACAAAGATAACATTGTAGCAACATAGCATACATATCTATTTTTCATTGAACGGCCTCATGGTTCAATCAGGTGTAATTATAATGGAGAAATAGAGGAGTATGGGAGTCACGACCTTTGTTATATTTATAGATGTATAAGTAGTTGTATAATATATATTTAATTGTTTGCTTAGAACAACATATTTTTTTATGCTATAGGTCGGCAAACGAGCAGACGCATTACCTGATGGTAAGCAATCAGCGCCGTCCATGGACACCCGCAACGGAGGAGTTACGAGTGCGTTGCCGACCTTTTAGGGATTAGGGATTTGGAGATTTGGGGATAGAGGAGGGATTTGCGGAGGGGAAAGATTGGGCCTCTGGTAACCTCACTCACACGGCGAAACACTACGCTGTGGTTATTTTACGGTTTTCTGTGAGGCCGTGGTATCACTGGTCCGGTCGAGCCGAACCATTCGTGCCGAAGCATGGCTCTCCCACACTTACATATATCACAGATTAGGTATGATCTTTTTCCTTAGTAACTGTAGGACATTAAGACGAGACAGGTAGATAACTACCTAGATGTTTTAATTACAGGCATTAAAATTACTGACGTAGGTCGGACAAGGTATTTCTATCCAAATGTTTCTTTGAATTCGCAATGAAATCGATTATAGTCAATAAAACTTGTACCTACCTCATAAAACTGAGTGTCTACTCAAAGACTTGCACTATTTCTTTTTTTGTGGGAAAATCATCAGTGGTGTTCCCTCGCCATGGATTGAGCGAGAAGGAGTGTCCTAGTGTTACTGACTGAAAACTACCCTGTTCCTTCTTTTGCTCCTGGTCAGGACTGCGTTACGTTATTGCGCTTAACCATGCAACGCTGGAACTATTCCTTTGATTCTTGATTTCATTTCGAAAACAATAACTAAGGATTAGGTTAGTAGTGTACAGCGTCCGAGACGGTTGCGCGCGTTGTGTCACGGGGGAGATTCACACCTCGCTTCCCTGTGCATCTTGAGGTAAGGCCTAGGCTGCGAATGAATTTGATTCCCGCACCCTCATGCCCACGTGAGAGACGGGACACCATGGTGGTTTTTAGTCAGTAAAAGTCTGACAGGATTTAACACCTCAGGACAAAAAAAGTCTAGTGCAGCGGTATTATAATTTCACTTTAAGGAACCGAAGTTTTCTTTAGTAGCTGATTCATGGTGTATCACAAATTCCAGAACATCACAAGTAGGTTAACTTCTTATTTATAGATGTTGATCCTTGTGAGTTTTAATCATATAAACATATTAACATACTACATATAAACACGCACGTGAATTAATTTAGATTTTCTCAATTAGTATCAAGTTACAATGGGGCTCTAATTCATGATTAGCGTGCGCGTCGCGGAGACGTTGCGTAGTCGACTAATCATAACTCATAGATTACTTTAAGAGTTATGAACTCATTAAGAATTAAAAGAAAAAAAAAATATCTCAGCACTACTTAATAGCATTTTATTCTTTCGGTAATGAAGATCTAGATGTCAATTTATTTGTTTTGTTTGTGTTTCTTTAGCTTCTCTTCAATTTAGGTGGGATTTGTTTTTGTGTCCAATTAAAAGACTATTAGATGGTCTATGAGGTCTATCGCCAATTAGGTTATGCGATCCACTCTGAGTCATTTCCAGATTTGTTTTTTTTGTTGTGTGGGGAAAATCATCAAATGAATTCTCCCGCCCTGGGTGATACGGGAAGGAGTGTCAAACTCTTACTGACTAAAAACTCCTCCGTTCCATCTTCTGATCGTGTAGAAGTTTTCTTTGTAAACTAGTTACAGATTAAAAATCATTATTTAAATCACCCTACTTATAATTATTATCTTTGTGAAAGTCTGTGAGAATGAATGGATATATGTTTGTTATTTTTTCACACAAAGATGGCTGATCTGCGGCCGGAAGCTTGTTTATCTTTAAAAACATTGTAGGAAAGTAGCTAAAAACAGTTTCGATTGTAACAATTTATCATCAAAGAACATGATTTTGTTGCCAAAAAGTTGTACAGTAGATACATACGTAAGAGTTTCTCCGTGCCGATGACCTATCAATGAACGCGTGAGTTGCCGTGAGATCATGGTCTGTACCCACGTATTTTGTTATTCAACGCCGAGAGCAATAGCCGCACCTATTTATATGTATATTTAAGTTTGTAATTTGAACAATGCGATACATATGAAGTGTTATTTTATTGTCTTGTGACTTACTTTTACCTACGACTCTGCTTGTATCTTTCGCACTTAATTAACTAATTTGTTTGAGACAGGGTAAACTAGTCTAATGTCTTCTCCTGCTCTCAGTAGGGGGAATAGCAGTGTTAGACTCTTACAGTCTACAACAATCCCGTTAAGTACTTCTCCTCTTCCGCGCCGGGGCCGCGGAACATTATAGCCCTCTCGGATCTTGGAACTGCATCATTCTTAGGCGATGAAATAATCGGAGCCTTTTTACCTTGCGAAGGAATGTAAACGGATGAGATGATGATGAGATAGAAAGTGCCAAAAATAAATTTTCGGCACTTTCTACATTATCTTATTTATCTTAAGTTGTGAGTGACCTCACTTACACTCTTACTAAAGACCCAAATCTTCACTTCCTTCCATTTCTTCCGAATCCCCGATCCTTCGAAATCTTAACTACCGGCAACGTTTACTATACTCCTCTGGTGCCGCGGGTGACGAAGGTCGGCTAGTTTGCTGCCCTAAAACAAAAAAAAGTTAGTAAGATCTTGATGTATGCATCCAAAATGTAGTCCATTTGTCAGTAATGATATTAGGTGTAGATGAAGAAAATGTTTATAAAGAGAACAAACTGACAAACAAAAGAATATAATAATATTAGTTGGGAATTGAGTAAATGACCTAAGTAACTGTTGTTGTAAATATGATTGTGAACTACCTCGTTGCTAGAATAAAGGCCATTTAATGGACTTCCCAACTTTTAGAGTTCCCATTTCAATACTCAGGTCAACTACGGTACAGACAGTGTCAAATATGTAGGGACATTCAGGGTTGGCAATTTTTTTTTTTTGTTTCGGGTTGGAAAATCCTCATGGTGACCCATCGCCCTCGGGGAAGGGCGAAGGGTACTGTCAGACTCTTACTGACTAAAAACCAACCCGGTGTTCCTCCACTTACCCATGTGTCGGAGGCCTGCTGCTGGTCGGACGACAACAACTTGACCACCGGGTTGGTTTTCTATAATTTTGAATGTTTTAAATGTCCCCATGTATTTGACACTGACTGATGCTGGGTTTCTCCAGGTTTCTCAAACACAAAGTTTAAACCATTGAGTCAGGTTTTGAATTTTGAATCTTATTCTTCAATTCGACATACAAAAGCTCAATGGTTTAGAACTAGACTAAAGAAAAGCCTTGTTTTGTAATGAGGCCGGAGATGTTATAGACATTTAGACATTGTACAATCTGAGATTGGGTGTGGAACTGTGGAGTGTGGGTGTTTTGCAAGACTTAAGCCTTCTTACATGGAATAACAATATCATGTTATGCTGTGTGTTTAATAAGCAACAAGGAGGCAAATAAATAACTCAAAATGTCAATACAATACTTTCTAATATGGCGGTATAAATCAACAATAAACAGTGTCAGAACGCAATATACTTACTTTGACAGAAGTTACATAATAACACTGTCTTTACAAGTAATTTTTTGTACTTATTTCTTTTTGAGCTCAACAGTACTAGCCGTTATTAAAATTAAATATTTAATCTCACAACTCACGGAAATCGTCATTGCAATAAAGCAACAAAATAATTAAACATACATTCTTGCCTGTTTTAAGCAGAATGACCTTACTGATTAAGAGTAATTCAGCTAAAATTTGCTAGCTTTAATTTATTTTTCAAAAATCTTTGAAATATTTTTGTTCGACACAATTTTATCATGAGTCTTATAAATACGAAAACGAATACAAAATTTCAAGGCAACTGATTCCGTTAACGAACTCTCGTTTAAAAAGGGTGAGCACAGAAGCGTTGAGAAACTATTAATTAAATGTGGCACAAACATTTTTAGGGCATAATTCCGCATAATAGGCATCATGTTATTTATACGGTACATTTTTGGCTCAAGTTTAGAACAAATAGACGATATATAAAAAACGGGAACTTTTACCCAGTTTATATCTACGTATAAAAAATACCTATAACGAAAACTGACCATTTTGTTAACAGTAAAAAAAAGTACCTAATCCGCAAGATATTGACCAATTTTTATACGCCAGTTATTTGATATAAAAATAAAACCCCCTTTTTGGTGTCAGTTACCCTTACGTACTGTTGGTGCAAAGTCATAAATAAGTAAGATATAACTAAGGATCCCGATATAAAATATTCTTAAGGCATCGACTTTCTAGATGTACCTAGCCTATACATATATCAAAATGAAATTTGTTCCTCTATTTTTTCAGAAATGTGGCGCAATACGAAATATCAGGCAACAGAAACATCTGGCTTTGGCAGCTCAATGACCCAGGTCTTGAACAGTACGACTACATCCAAGATGCTAGAATGTTCATAATGACTTGTGACGCGTGGATGCTAAGTAACGATCAACTGGCTGAAGAAGACATCGTCGTAATGGATGCAAAAGACATTTCACTTAAATTCATCACGAAGTTTAATATGTCTGTGGCACGGAAACTTGCGAAGTACCAAGAGGCAAGTGAAATAATTCTTTTAAGATCAGATAATATAATCAGCCTATAAGTTTTCACTGCTGACCAAAAATCTGTTCTCACACGGAGAAGGTTTGAGCATTAATCAGCACGCTTGCTCAAGCGTATGTCAGTTGTGTCTAAATAATCATAGAAAGTACATACATATAACTCTGAAATAATCACATTGGTTCTCGCTAGGTTTCTAAACCGCACCTTCATGCGTAAGAAGCGAGCTACTTCACCTTACTGCCACCACGACGTTCTTTGCGATACACAATGCTTCAATGCCTTTTAAGATCTGCATAAGCCAAAATATAAAAACTTTATTAAATGTCGTATAATTTTGACTGACAAATAATCCATGGTTACTTCAACACACATTGCATAAATTTTTATCTCTAAATCAAATACCGCTAATGCTAACAGTTGTAAACTTAAGATCATACATGATCCCCAAGACAATAAGATCGTGTTTCGCCAGCAACGTTTTATAGAATGACAAAAAATATAATATTTTTTGGAGAAAATTTATTGCTGTTTAATGAGTGAATCTTTTATTACTTTTTCAGGATGCTATGCCAATCAGGTTAAAGCAGATCCACATTATTAACGCACCTCCTTTCATTGACAAGCTGTTCAGCATGATGAAACCGTTCCTAAAACAAGAAGTAACAAATATGGTAAGTTAAAACTTATATGGAAATAAAATAAGGGCTGATTTTTCGATAGTCTGATAAATGTTATCTGAGGAATAACATTGTTGCTGTCACTGTCTCATACAAACATTTTGACGCGACGGCATCATAATTATTCTCCAGGTAACTTTTATCTAACCAGTGAAAAATCAGCCCTAAACACTTGATTTGATCTTCTTTTTCGTTCCGTAGAACCATCGTAAAACTAAAGTGCTTAGTGTGAGTTTTCTTCACGTTCACACAATCGAAACGTTATCGCTTTAAGCCATTTGATTGGTTGCTTCATTTGGGGCTGGCCAATCGGCGCGCAGAACGTCATAAACGTGTCGATGTCGCTGACATATAGCAAGTTCGCACTAGACACTCACATCATAGTTAGATGAGATTATTCTTTCCCGCAAGACCGGTATATTAAATCTTCTTCAAGTTTAAATCTTATAGCATTTTTAATGTTGCGGGTCAAGCTCAATAAGTTTTCGCGGCTTCGGCCTAGAAAAGGAGAAGAACAGGGCGGTTTTTAGTCATTAAGAGTTTCTCACTCTCTTTCACCATACCCTAGGCAATAAAAGTCATTTGAGGACTTTCCCTGCTCAAAAAAGAAACTGCATATTTAATGTTTTTTCTTCAGCAAGGTTACCTGGCCGCACTTAGGCGAGAAACACGGAGGTTTTTAACTGTGTAACATTTCACTGTATTTAATGTAGTTACAGGAAAACCCTAAGTGCAGCTCCTTGTTCTATACTGCTGCAGAACCGTTCTAATGCGGCCGGGGACTTAAAAGATGCCATTTCCTTGTATACTTACTAAAATCAAAATGTATGTTTTCAGGTCCACTTTCATGTGCCAAAATCGGATACCCTATACAAGTACCTAAATAAAGAAGATTTGCCATCGGATTACGGTGGCTCCCGACCTTCCATGGAAGAGCTGAATAAGAGAGTCGTAGATATTGTTATGGAAAAAAGGTAATTCATCCTACATTGTTATCATCAATTTAATTGTGGGAGAGCCAAGCTTCGGCACGAATGGGTGGGCTCGAGCGGTGTGATACCACGGCCTCACAGAAAACCGTCGTGGAATAACCACAGCGTTGTGTTTCGCCGTGTGAGTGAGGTTACCGGAGGCCAATCCCTCCCCTTCCCCTATCCCTTCCCACCTATCCTCAAAAGGCCGACAACGCACTCGTAACTCCTTTGGTGTTGCGGATGGTGATTGCTCACCATCAGGTAATCAGTCTGCTCATTGGCCGACTTATACCATAAAAAAATACAGGTTCAGTAATTGTTGACTTGGCAGAGCACGATCATCTAAAAACATGTTAGTACAAAATTTGACAAATTAGATGTAAATAAAGAGTCTGAGATATTTTTCTTATGTTTTGACAATAGACCAGTGCCAAGAATTCGAAATTAATTCAAAATACCGAAGGCTCAATCTCTCCTACTCTCAAAACCAGGAACGCACTGCACTGAACTGAACTCCTTTAGGAATAGCATTAGTTTAGCAACCTCTTAAAAAGTTTGCTACCCTGGTAGAATTGGCACTTTAGTAGTATAAGAACCTTAATCACAGACTGAAAATAAACGCGTATGCAAAAAAAATAACATTGTATTGTTTGTTTTATTACAGGAAAATCTTTTTGGACGAGAACTTCTGGAAGACAGAGAAAAAGGGAAAGAAAGTGAAAGAAAGCACAACCTTTAGATCTCTAGATATAGACTAGTTAATAAATAGACATGGCCACATGGTAAACCAATAGAAACAAGTTACTTTATTTGTGATAAGTTTAGTAAACTTAATAGGAATGAGAACCATATTCTCTTTTTGATATGTTTTAGATTTATTTAGTAAAAAGTACACTGAACAGACAGCATAGACACTTATTTTTCTTTTCTTACGACAGTATTTAAATTCTTTTGACGTTCTATTGATTTTAAAAATCGTGTGACGTCACGATTTATTTTATTTTATACTGAGTGGCGTCATTGCTATCTCCTTGAATTCATTAATTATCTAATCTATTTCTTGAGTTTCCATATTACAAAATAAAATACGTTTTATAGTTTTTAATTATGAATTTTCTTTATTCAACTGCTGGATTATACATATAGTTTTATTTATTTACATACCCTGTCATCATCACTCTCTAATTTAACTTTGTACGTGTAAATAGAAAAAAAAAATGTTTAGAGTGATAAATATTTAAGCAGGTGCTTATTCAGTCGGTTGGGAAAATAGCAATTAAGATTTTTTTCAGGAATCATCTGCGTAGACGTTTAATGTCAAAAACGTTTTTATTTGGTGGAAGTAATAAAAAAAGTAATACATGAACATTTTATTAAAAAAATATGCTAAAGTACCATACCACATGTAATTATAGGTACATGATTTTGTATAACTTAATTTAAGTATAAAAATAGCTGGCTGTGTTTTGTATTTGTGTGCCTTATTGTTTGTGCAAAAGGATTATAAATTTCCTCTCGAGTAAGTTCAGGTGATATTGAATCTGAGCGATAAATTTCTCCTTTACTAAATCACTACATAGTATAAAACAAAGTCGCTTTTTCTGTAACTTTATCTCTATGTATGCTCAAATCTTTATAACTACGCAACATACTTTGATACGGGTTTTTTAATGGATCGAGTATTGAAGAGGAATGTTTATATTTAATATCCATTTAATAATGGAGAAATTTAGTATCAGCGTTTTACCCGTGCGAAACCAGGGCGGTTCGCTAGTTTCCAATAACAGTAGGTACTAATTGAAAAGCAAAAGAAAAAGGTTTTCATTTGTTTAATAGTTTGGATTAAAGTTATTATACGGTGGCCACGTTTACGAAGATGTAGCGCGTTTCACAGCGCGTCGTCAGTTACTCCTACATTGCTCGTATGTTTGTTTTTGCGCGGGCGAAGGCACGGCCTTCCTCAGCAATGGACGACGAACGCTGAACGCGCAACGGATTGCGTTTTTATTGATTTTTATAAATCAATGCTCAGGGTCAACATAACTTGAAATTAATCTGAGTAAATTTTGTTAGTGTTTTTAATTGTAATTATATATTTTTTTAAGTATAAATTTATTGCCTCGCAATAGCCAAGATCTTGCGATTTTATGGTGTGGTTTTGTTATTAAGATTTTTTGATTTTGTTGTATTGGATAATGTATAGAAATACACTCCTTATAAGGGATGTTAGTTTTAACCGTTGTTGATAATTTTTTCATGACAAAGTTTTCATTCTATGTGAAATGTTTTAATGTTATACCTATCTACATTCATATTAGAAGAAATATATAATAAAGAATTTAATAAAAGTTAATAAATAAAAGAGCTTGTTCTTTAAGGAAACACGTTTAGATATACACGAAGCATAGACATTGTTCTTGGGCGCATTGCCTGCTACGCAACGTGTCGCGGGTTCGATTGCCGCACGGAACCCACACTTTATGTGATCCACAAATAGTTGTTGATACAGGACAAAATACTAGTACGGAACAGTTTTCATTTTAACAAAAAAAAAATACCTACCTTTTATTTAGGGTACAGACGTTTAGGTAGAACTACTTGTAGTTCAAAGCGCTAGGGTTGCCAACTACTTAACTGCACCTTTTTAAGGCACCTACCTTAATTATCTGCTCACATATAATTTTCTGTTATTGGTAAGTAGCAGAATTCTTTAGATTCGAATGTTCATCTACTTATCCCTATAAATTGGGATCGATAACTCTAAGGGGGGAAAATCATCGGGTCCTAATTATCACCCAGATTTTCGGTGCATTATTTTATTTTATTGCAACTATAAAAGTAAGGTATGTAAGGCGGTGAGATCGGATGTAAATAAATTCTGCTTGTAAATAAAAATAAAGGTTAAAGTTCGTATAGAAATTGCCTTAGAATAAAATAGAACATTCCAATTAGATTAGCATAAAAAAAAAGAAAATCAAAATTATTTTGTAAAAAAAAATGTTAAAATTTGTGTGTAGGTACCCTATATGTTTATATTGAGACGAATATTTTTAAATGAAATAAATTTTATGAGTACTGTTGATCATGTGTTATTATTTATATATTTATAAGGTTCATGTATTCTCTAACTCTTTTTATTTACAAGGTTTTTCTTAATAAAAACTGTTTTCACATTTCTTGTCGCGCGTGTATGTTTTTAAATAATATCTACTCTAGTTTTGCGAAACAAATTAAAAAAAAAACAAGCCTGTTTTTCCATAATACATACATTTTAAATAAAGTAAAAGGTTTCAATTTCATTTGAATATTTAAGTAGATATTTTTCGATACTCTAGTTTTGATATATTTTTTTACTTGGAAACCCGAATCGCGAAAATCGCATCGCTCTGAAGGCGATGCAGCGTTCCCCTGGTCAGCGAGTCAATCAAAACAAATATTATAAGCACAACCATTGTTTTCCGTCTTTATAGTTACGCCGTTTACATTTAAAATATCCAACACCACGTTTAGGTTGGTAGGTAACCAAACATTCTTTATTTAGATATAAGGGCATGTCGAAGATCGGGTTTCCTAATATCTTGTAGCCACAGGAACCCCACACATAGCATTGGGTGTTTCATGATCAGCAAAATGTTAAGATTGAGGTCTTTTTCCCATTGTTGCTTGTGTGTGTGTCTGTGTGTAGGTGTGTTTGCCTCGGAACCAGGTAAAACCCTATGATTCTCTATATTTTAAAACATAGACACAATGAATGCAAGAAGTACAACAATATAAGGACACCCGGAAAAAGGACACCGAATATGTTTTATCCAGGAAATACAATAGGACACGGCAAACGAAAAGAAGCTGTTCCATTTGATTTGATTCCATGATCACCAATCTTGTTATTCAGTTGTATTAAGTACCTTTATTTTCTTTTTTAAATTTGTATTGTTTTTTAATTAGTGTTTTTTAAGTACCTAGATAATAGTATTTATATAAAATTAACAATACAACTTAATGGCGTAAGCTGTAAAATTGTATATGTGAATATTCTTAATAAATAAATAAATTTCCGGGTCTCTCTATCTTGAGTTGGGTCTTGGTAGAATCTATTGTTTTAATTTTTTATAACCAAGCAAATGCAAATATTATTCTCAAGGACTCAGAAAAATGCCGAAGTGCAAGAAACAAAATACACAAGTTTGAGTACGCCTACACGCATACTAGTTTTCCATTAGGCATTATTGTAAGCCAATATCTCTTCAAAAGGGAAAATCATCAAATATCTACTCTCGCCTACGGTATGGCGAGAGAAGACATTTAATGATTTTTCCTCCTCAAAAAAAAAAAAGAAAAATGGGCACGCAAGTGTCAGTTAAGCCATAGTAAGATATCTAAGAAAAGACGTAAAATAACTATTTTATTTTGGATATCCCTCGTAAATAGGAACTATGGGGATAGTTCCTGGACTTGTGAATCTTATAAAACTTGGCGAAGACTTGGGTAACTACTATAGTCATCATAACGAACTTAAGGCAACACACGTAGAACAATGGACTACTAATCTTGTACCCAATGGATGTTTTACAGTATCCTTAACGATAAAGAAAAACTTAACTGCTAGCTGTGGATTAGGAGGTACCATTAAAAATCTAGATTCTGTATAATGTCACTAGTCGGAGTAAGTCGTAAAATTTTAATTTAAAATTAATTGCATGCCAACTGCATATCTGTCATTTGCATAGCATAAAGGTCACATGTTAGTATATTTTTAGATATCATCGTATTTTTAGTTTTTATTACAACTGGAAGTTTCTATAAATAAACTGGTACAAAAAACTAGTCAAGTACGTTAGTTTAATACAGGATGAAATTAAATAGAAGACAAAATGAAATAGAACCTTCAGATATAAATAATAGATAAATCGTTTAAAAAAATGGATTATTATCATAATTAAAAATGGTACCTACCTAAATTGGTGTTGGTATCTTTTTATATTTTAAAGCATAAATTATTGATATTCCAGAAAAAATATAACTTTGCATTAAATTAATAAGAAAAATAAAATAAAATATCAAATAAGGACGACGTAGTTCTCTATGATCGTCATAGAATACGCATGCTGGCGTTCGCGCGAGTTTTAGCAATGTAGCTCGGTGCACACTAGAAAAAGGCAAAATTAGGTGAATGACCCCAACTCATGTGATTAAAACTTTTTTAATAAGTACGCTAAAAATACCTACATAAAATATTTAGTTGTTCTTTACAAACATTATTAAGGTTTCATCAATTCAACTTCACTCTGTATAACAAGGAAGGCGTAAGATGTGGCGAAAAACAAGTCGAAATTATTATTCATAACTTTGCATACCTACCATTCTTGATTTATTTTTAGCTCGTAATTACTACAACGATTAGGACCTTTACTTTATGAGTCCTTTGCAAATGATCTGTTTATAAAAGATGTATATATTTAATATTTAATTACATTTTATTTTAGATATTTTAAGAAATTAACTTAGTTATTGCATATTTGATCCTAACTCGGCAAGAATGAGGCGGCGCGACAAGACAGGAGTGATACTATATACGGTCTTACAGAAAACTGTCGTGAAACAACCATAGCGTTGTGTTTCGCCGTATGAGTGAGGTTACTGACGGCCCAAAATTATGAACAGGTCCGTAACAATTTAACAAGATTGTATTCAATATTTCAAAGACACTATGTCTGGATGACCTGACTCAGCTCGGTATTTTTTTTTCTGAAAATAAATTCTATCTAGATTGACTTTTCGGCTCCGGTACTACCTATTACATACAAAATTACATATGAATCGTTGAAGCCTTTTCCGAGACCCTGTG